ACTAAGGACACTATCACTAACACTAACGGTTTAACATTACTAAGAAAAGGATAGTTCACGACGATGCGGATGACGCTGACGATGGCGCCCAAGCCACACGTTCTCCCTACCATCAAACCACCTTCCTATGTTTATCTATATCCTAAAACGACGCCGCGGGCGTGCGTGTGTACGGGCCGGTGGGCGTACCCCGTTGAGCGACACCAACTGACGAGTTCTCCTAACCCGACTGCTCCAGCAGAATAACCACTGAAGCGTACTGACCAATCAGAACCTGCGAATATTTATTTATAATATCAGACTGGTTGTCCGGTAAGCCTCTTCTCTTCGGTCCTTAACACTACGACAAGACACCCACCCTTCTGTTGTACATTCTCGTTTTTTTTTTTTTTTTTACTACAGCTCAAACCATCCCTGAGTGGTCGACCTTCGCTCCCATGACACAGATGATGATGCTGGCATAAGAGCCGCCCTTTCTCATATATCCCCGTTCATCAAGCCACCTTCCTAGGTTTCTTTATCTAAACCCTAAAGCAGCACCCCTCTGTCACCTGTCACTGCCGTCTTTAAGGCTCTTTTCATATCCCCTAAATTGTTGTAACATAAATATCCCCCGCTAACAAACAACTCCTAGTTTTGTCCATTACATAACCCATAAGCCCGCGCCGACTCTATTAGTCGCCCTGTCGCCCCGGGTTCCCTGCCCCGCTGCTCACATTAATATTGTTCCCGTTGTCGCCCTTTACATAATCCTATCGACAGACGTGTCAAATGCCATCTGTCGTCCACGGCTTTGAAGATAATAATTCGCCTGCAAAGTATCGATTTGACCAAATTGACCACATATGTATTAACAAAAAGTTTATATCATCCCTTTACGATGTTAGGGATTTCAGAGGTGCCGATGTATTTACTGACCATTTCCTGGTGGTAAGTAAAATCAAGTTGAAACTAAAAAGATATATAACATCTTATAATCATAGAAACCAATATAATGTAGGCTTTCTCAAATTAAGGAACAGTTCTCAGTTACGGTCTCTAATAAGTATCAGGTGTTGCAGCAGTTAGCAGAAGATGTCAACACAGAAGTCTGCTGGGATCAGATCAAAGGAATCTGGAATGAATCTTGCGTAGAAGTTCTTGGCAAGAAAGAAAGGAAACATAAAGCATGGATAACACCAGAAATCATTAAACTGATTGAAGATAGGAAAAGTAAAAAGGCAGAATTAAACAATAGCAAAACTAGAGCAGCTAAAGATAGAGCTCAGGAGAAATACACAGAAGCCAACAAGGAAGTTAGGAGGCATATAAGGGCAGATAAAGTGAAATATCTAAATGATCTAGCACAAGAAGCAGAGACAGCAGCAGCAAAAGGAAACCTCAGAGAACTTTACAGTAACACAAGAAAATTAGTAGGTATCAATCAAAAATAGTCAAGGAAAGGTACTTACTAACACTAAAGATCAAATGGACAGATGGGTGGAATATTTTGAAATGCTTCTAAATAGACCAGGCCCAGAGGTTCCCCCAGATATCCAGCCTTTATAAATGAAACTGGATATCAACTGTGAGATACCATCCAAAGAGGAAATTAGAAAAGCTATAAATCTTCTCAAGAAAGGAAAGGCGACAGGCCCAGACGGTATCCCAGCTGAAGCCATCAGGACCAACATAAACACATCAACAGAATTGCTACATAGATTATTCAGTAAAGTCTGGAGACCGAAAAAATACCAGCAGACTGGAGAGAAGGATATCTTGTGAAACTGCCCAAAAAAGGTGATCTACAGGAGTGTGAAAACTATAGAGGAATTATGTTGCTGTCAGTTCCTGGAAAAATATTAAGTAGAATTATTTTGGAAAGATTAAAAAAGATGCTATTGATAAAATGCTAAGAAATGAGCAGGCAGGTTTTCGGTCAAACAGATCCTGTACTGATCAGATAGCCACATTACGTATTATAATAGAGCAAAGCATTGAACTGAACTCACCACTTTACATTGGATTTATAGACTATGAAAAAGCATTTGACAGCATAGATAGGGAATCTCTCTGGAAATTGATGGAGCGCTATGGAATCCCACAGAAAATTATCAACTTAGTAAAGGCAACATATACAGACATGAAATGTCGAGTTCTTCATGAGGGAAAGCTAACAGATGCATTTGAAATACAAACAGGTGTGCGACAGGGATGTTTTTTGTCGCCTCTCTTATTTTTACTGGCTATAAACTGGACTATGAAAACATTAACTGCTAACACCAAGAATGGAATTCAGTGGACCCCTACAAAACAGCTTAATGATCTGGACTTCGCTGATGATATTGCTCTTCTGTCCCATTCACGGAATCAGATGCAAGATAAATTAAATATATTTAATGCGAGATCACAGTAGCTTGGTCTGAAAATCCATAAAGGAAAGACAAAGATAATGAGAATAAATCAGGCAAATAGTAATGTGGTTTCTCTTAATGGCACCCCACTCCAAGACGTGGAGTCGTACACCTATTTAGGCAGTAATGTAGATAAAGAGGGAGGAACTGATAGAGATATTAAAATAAGAATACAAAAGGCAAGAGGGGCTTTCATAGCACTAGGGAATTTGTGGAGGTCAAAAGAAATTAAAAGAAATACTAAACTAAAAATTTTTAATTCTAATGTCAAATCAGTACTATTGTATGGGGCGGAAAAATAGAGAACAACCAAGGCAATTACTAATAAATTACAGACATTCATTAACTGGTGCCTGCGCAGAATAGAGGGAATAAAATGGTATGATAGAATAACTAATGTAGAACTTTGGGAGAGAACTAAACAGGCTCTAGTGGATCAGGAAGTGAGGAAAAGACGCTGGCGTTGGATAGGGCACACACTGAGAAAACAGGAGATCAGCATTACTAGGATGTCTTTGCATTGGAACCCACAGGGGCATGGGAATAAAGGAAGGCCAAAAAACACACGGAGAAGAGAGCTGGAGAACGAGGTTAGAAAGATTGGGAGGACATGGGAGCGCTCCATACAATGGCGAAGGATAGAACGACTTGGCGTGAGTTGGTTGAGGGCCTATGCTCCATTGGGGGATAGAAAGGCAGAAGAAGAAGAAGAAAGTATCGATTTTCCGACCCGAGCAACAATACACTAAAGAAATATCGATTTGCCTTCCTAAAATCACTCCGCCTAAAAATACCCACATACCGACAATGAGTCACCAGTTGCTATGGAGACAACATATCGATTTATGCACCATATGTCTTTCCCCGCCCGGCAAAACCAGTCACACGTGCCTCCATCAGCCGCCCAATCGATATTTACTAAGGATAAAGAACAGCCGCCAGAAGAAACCAAGCACATATCGCCGCCATCTTTTACTAAGGATAGAGAAGGCGACTTAGCCCAAATGCGGCCCCAAACACGCTACATAACTACTATTATGGTCACCCTTTACTTGACAGGTCAAAACTTTAGGGTGCTGTGTAACCGAAATTACCCTCATATAACTTCTACGCATTTGAAAGGGCTACTGCGATGTCCACATGCAAGATTCTCATCCTTCAGTTGTTAATCCCGCAGAACTGAAGTTGACAAACTAACCAAGAAGTATGGTAGGACCAGCGCAAGTTGATGGTGATAACGACGTGTCGTGTGGACAGGTTTGATGAGGCCTTCGTGGAAGAGGAAGTGCTAGGCTGGGTCAGGTGCTTATATTAGGACTTCACACAGTCGAGAATGTGTGTATTGAAACCCTTATTGACGACATGGGCTTATCCTTTTAGAGACGGGTCTGTGAGTGCTTTTCAATGAGCCTGTTTAAGTGCTTGTTTGTGTGTGTGTCAGTGTTTGTGTGTGTGTTAGTGTGTGTGTGTGTGGGGGGGGGGACCAGATCCCACTTGTGGATTTATTTAAAAAATGTTAGTCACTGTGGTGATATGCTTGTGTTCTAACATGTGAACGTGTGTGTGTGTGTTTGTACTGATTGTTTATGCATAACAGTACATGATGAAGTTATGTGTATGTCATGTGTGTGTGTATATACAAGTCTACATTAAAATAGTTTATTCTAACAAATAGACAATGAAACAGCATTTGTTTTTTCCTTATCAGTGCCACCATTGCGCAGCAGCTAAAAGCTCGCCTTTGGCTCCTAGATATGCGCGTTCCTAAAAGACTTTTTAAAAAGTCTACAAGTTCAATCAGCATCCCTGAAGGGTGATTTTAGGTAAGAATTGTATTTAGGTTATGTGCGCCATATAAAATTTTATACATAGCATAACACAGCACTGCACGCCAACAAGAACCCTGCAAAGGACTCATGCAGTGTTGAAGTGATCCAAAGAGACAGACCCAAATTCCGTACCCGACCGGTAACGAACACGTCTACCGGCGAGCTATTGGGCTACCTGGTCGCCGATGTATATACCCGTAGACAACTAGGGCACCAAGGTTGGTCCCCTCAGAGACGCAAACGAACCCTAACCTTAAACCCAACCCTAACTCCCCTAGAATAGTGGACTTTCTAGGAAAACTATGACACTTCCTTTACGGGGGTCAGGAAAAAGGGGGTGGAGTAAGGGAAAAGGGGGGGGGGGGGAGACAGAATATTGTACCCGCTTCGCTATCTCAATGTATATGATTTACATAGATTTTGAGAATTATCTTTTTACCACAGCTAACTAAAGCATAAACTATGTTCAGGTTGTAATATGCTCCCAATGGGATGTGCAGATAAAGAAAACTATCCCCCCCCCCCCCCCCTTCCCCCCCCCCCCCAAAAAAAAAGAAAGAAAGCTGATGGTGCAAAATTGATTCTGTGCACGAGTGTGCATTTTTATAAAATCCGGACAAGGACAGCGAGCATATAAAGGCAAAAACGTCACTTGTTACATATCCGTATCAACATTATAGCACCTCGGTGCGACTCACTCGTGCACCCTCAATGGATCCAGCAGCCATCTTAATGTCTCCACGTTCACCATCTCAATGTCTCTACGTTCACAATCTCAATGTCTCCACGTTTACAATCTCAGTGTCTCCACGTTCACCATCTCAATGTCTCCACGTTCATCATCTCAGTGTCTCCACGTTCATCATCTCAGTGTCTCCACGTTCATCATCTCAGTGTCTCCACGTTCACCATCTCAATGTCTCCACGTTCATCATCTCAATGTCTCCACGTTCATCATCTCAATGTCTCCACGTTCATCATCTCAGTGTGTCCACGTTCATCATCTCAATGTCTCAACGTTCACCATATCAATGTCTCAACGTTCACCATGTCAATGTCTCCACGTACACCATCTCAGTGTCTCCACGTACACCATCTCAGTGTCTCCACATTAACCATGTCAATGTCTCCACGTTCACCATCCCAGTGTCTCCACGTTTACCATATCAATTAAACATTCAGTAGTTTGTCAATGCTGGCTGAATGGTCAACACTCTAGGTCTTTGGTCCTAGAAAAAATGGACCTGCAAAAAGAAGCACAAATCCATCACTTTAGACACCCGAGAAGCGCATGATAAATCCATAGTTCCTAATGGTTCGATCAGAAGAAGAAGAGACAGGAGAAGAAGAAGAAGAAGAAGAAGAAGAAGAAGAAGAAGAAGAAGAAGAAGAAGAAGAAGAAGAAGAAGAAGAAGAAGAAGAAGAAGAAGAAGAAGAAGAAAGAAGAAGAAGAAGAAGAAGAAGAAGAAGAAGAAGAAGAAAGAAGAAGAAGAAGAAGAAGAAGAAGAAGAAGAAGAAGAAGAAGAAGAAGAAGAAGAAGAAGAAGAAGAAGAAGAAGAAGAAGAAGAAGAAGAAGAAGAAGAAGAAGAAGAAGAACAAGAACAAGAACAAGAACAAGAAGAAGAACAAGAAGAAGAACAAGAAGAAGAACAAGAAGAAGAAGAAGAAGAAGAAGAAGAAGAAGAAGAAGAAGAAGAACAAGAACAAGAACAAGAAGAAGAAGAAGAAGAAGAAGAAGAAGAATAAGAAGAAGATGATGATGAAGAAAAGAAAGAAAAAGAAGAAGAGGACGATTACAAAAAAACATTTCTAAATAATTTTGAGCACATTATATTGACACCCGAAAGCAAACTCGTAGAAAGTTCAAGGTAAATACTTTATTCAGAATATAGTGTAGACATACAAGCCAATGTTTTGTTAGTGAAATCAAAGATGTCCCTTGACAGTATGATGTGCTCTTTGATAATGTATATTATTTGTGTTGTTTGGATATAAATTTATTTTTTTTAAAGTATGATCATCCAAATTTGTTTTTTGGAATAACTGAGCACTACATTAAATTGTTATGAGTGTATGCACAATTTCAGCTCGTTAGCTTAACAACACAAAGTGTCAAAACCAACCGATCCTGTCTGCCCTTAGAAATATACAAACAAAAATACCAAAGCTAATTTAATCAAAGATTACACATATCAGATTAATTATTTCTATTGTTACGCATTATTCAGAACACCATTATTGCTGTCTGCCACATGTAAATTGAAACATCACGTCAGATAAATGATCGTTACACCCGGGATGAATATCCGTATCTTCAGATGCCACAGTTATGTCCCAGAAAGGGAAGTAAATAACACGGTCTTGTAGATCCCTGAACGTCTCCTTCTGTATTGTGGTAATATACTGAGCCCAGGCATCAGAAGATAGGCCGACATGCGGAGGATGCTCTGCAACATGTGGTCCCTGAAAAAGATTGTTATTTAAACATTGTAGTCAATAAATCTGGTAATCTTGTAATCTTAGTTTCAGCTTTATAGCAAACCGGTCACCCAATAGTTGCCCCGGACAAGTGCCAGCGACAAGCACACAGTGTCCGTTGCTCTGTCTTGTGGAAAGATTGACACAACTGCAGTCTAAGCATACCGACTGACATGCGCAGGCAAGCAACAGTATAGGCCATTGTTCTCTCCAAAACGTTATTACAGTCTATAGACCAAAACTTTTAGTCTGCCTGCATTCCTGCCTGCCGGGTGGTTTGTCTGTCTCCGTGTGTGTGCGTGTATGTGTGTGAGTGTGTGTGTGTGTGTGGTTGTGTGTGTGTGGTTGTGTGTGTGTATGTATGCCAGTGCCTGAAACTGAAATTGGACAGGGTACTTCTGAATTACAAATCTCTTTCAGAACGTCTAAGTCACAGACGTCGAATAGCTGACTGACTGACTAGGAAACAAATCAACAAACCAACTGATTAATTAACTAACTAACTAAACAACTAACTGACTGACTATCTATCCGAAAGACTATCTAACTAGCTAGCTGACTAACTGACTGGGTAACTAACTAACAATCCAGCTGACAAACTACCCATTTGTCTAAGTAACTAACTAACAAACCAGGTAACTACTTACTAACAAACTAACTAACTAACAGACTACCCACCTGGCTGACAAACTAATTATCTAATTAACTGACTGACTGACTAACTAACAGATGCCTAACTGACTGACTAACTAACTAACAGACTACCCACCTGGCTGACAAACTAATTATCTAATTAACTGACTGACTGACTAACTAACAGATGCCTAACTGACTGACTAACTAACTAACTAACTAACTAACTAACTAACTAACTAACTAACTAACTAACTAACAGATACCCAACTAACTAGCTAACTGACTTACTGACTGAATAACTAACTAAACAACCACGTAACTATCTAATTAACAGACTTTCTAACTGGCAAAGTAACCAACTGACTAATTAATTAATTATCAGAGTAACTAACTAGCTAGCTATCTAACTAACTGACTGACTGGCTGACCGACTAACCGACTAAAAAACTAACTAGCTACCTAACTAACTAACTAACTAACTAACTAACTAACTAACTAACTAACTAACTAACTAACTAACTAACTAACTAACTAACTAACTAACTAACTAACTAACTAACTAACTAACTAACTAACTAACTAACTAACTAACTAACTGACCAACTAACCGACTAAGTAGCTAACTAACTAACTATTTAACTAATAGACTACCCAATTAACTAACTAATTAACTAACTAACTAACTAGCAGACTACTAACTAACTATCTAACTAAGCAACTATCCAACTGACTGACTGACTAAGTAACTGCGGGACGGGCCACCCAACTAACTTAAAATTAACTAAATTTTTTTGGGCTAATGCGTCATTCTTAGTTAGTTAGTTAGTTAGTTAGTTAGTTAGTTAGTTAGTTAGTTAGTTAGTTAGTTAGTTAGTTAGTTAGTTAGTTAGTTAGTTAGTTAGCTGAGTTATCATCATTGCACTCCGGACATGTCCATAGGTGTTTAGATCCTCCCCTCAGTATGAACTCCAGCGTCCGATGGCTAATAGTACCAGTTCTATGTTGATTAACAAATCCTCTGGCGTAGCTGGTGTGGGTCTCGTTTTTTGCTGTGCCGATCTTAATTCCCAAGTCTGCCATTCTGGCGAGTGATGTGGATTCACTGCCACCAAAGTCCTCTAACCTTCCCATTTCTCTGAGGGCATTGATAATATCAGCGTGATCCATAGGCTGACCGTCGGTAGTGATAGCGGATCCAGCCAACCTGTCAGCTTTTTCATTTACATCGACGCCTGCGTGTCCCGAAACAAAAATAAAGGTGACGCCACGCACAGTGGACTTCTGCAATGATTCAAGCCATTTTCTTCGCACTGAACCTGTCTGAACCCTCCTAATCATACTCATTGAATCGCTGAGTATACATACGCGGGTGTATTTTTGTGTTTCAAGCCAGGCAAACGCTTGCGTCACTGCCATCACCTCCATCGTCATGCTGCTGGTTGTCATGGAGAAGGCGCCGTTGGCTTCTTTGACTGTTCTGCCCGCTGAGCGTGCTGTAAATGCCCATGCGCTTCTTCTTTGACGTATAACGGATCCGTCTGTATAGATTAGTGCATCTGCTTCGTCTGAATTTTCACCGATGAGAGCGTTGACCTCTGCATTAACAGCAACAGGATTCTCTTCACTACATCGCCTGTTGAGTGTGAATGCGTCATTCATTCTGTGTTATCAGTAATGACATACTTGAACACACAGATTTCATTTTCCCGTAGATCCCTATGACTGGTGGAGATTCCGTATATTCACAAGACATAAGCTTTTGACTACACAGATTAGTTATTTCACAATGCTAGACACAATATCTGACTTCTGCCGCTTGCACCATTTGCGCCAGGTTTTCATGTGCAAGAGAGAGTGACTGATTCGCGTTTTTATCTGTTTAATGTGAAACAACGGGAGCAGTTGAAGTATTGTGTTTGAAATTATAAACCAAAAGTTTTTAGTCATAGTCTTAGGTATCCACATATTACATTACTCTTTTATCTCTTTCGTATTCGTCCCTAAAAGGGCCGCTGGCACGCTGTGTTGTGGATTACAACTGTGCTGCGATTTCTGTGCAGATCTAAGCAAAACTCTAAAAACTTGCCTATTAAAACGTTTTAATCTAGGAGGCAGTTAATCTTTTACCAGCCGTTGGGCCATACCTGGCTAAATACATTACAGTTTTACAGCAAACGCCACCACAAAATAAAATCTCACCCTTAACGTTATGAGGACATGGGGATTTCGCTTCCACAACCTGATGATAGCATTGCGAACTGCAGTTAGATACCTCTCGAAGACGCTGATGTGATGGGCGCTCAGATGAAGGAAGTGGTGAATATTGATGATGTAACGTCCTTCTGATGGAATTAAGCCGAACAGTTTCTCAGGTGAGTGGAGATAGCTGACATCCATGAATGTTTTCTAGAAACAAAGTCAGTTATGTTCTTTTAAAGAGACAAAAGTAGAGTTGAAATGGCAGAAACTATGATATTTTATGTTACGTTTTGTCACCTTCTTATAATCCTATATGTTTCCACTTATTTCCGTTTGAAAATCTTATTAGTCTGCCCGGCTGTCCGTCTTTCACCTTTGACTGTGTCTGTATGTCTGTACGTCCGTATTATGTATGTTCTGTCGGTCTATGTATCTGTCTGTATGTATGTATGTGTGTATGTATGTATGTATGTATGTATGTATGTATGTATGTATGTATGTATGTATGTATGTATGTATGTATGTATGTATGTGTTGTATGTATGTATGTATGTATGTATGTATGTATGTATGTATGTATGTATGTATGTATGTATGTATGTATGTATGTATGTATGTATGTATGTATGTATGTATGTATGTATGTATGTATGTATGTATGTATGTATGTATGTATGTATGTATGTATGTATGTATGTATGTATGTATGTATGTATGTGTATGTATGTATGTATGTATGTATGTATGTATGTATGTATGTATGTATGTATGTATGTATGTATGTATGTATGTATGTATGTGTATGTATGTATGTATGTATGTATGTATGTATGTATGTATGTATGTGTATGTATGTATGTA